CACAGCTTTCATTTGGTATTTCTTTACGGTAAAGTGAAAGGTTTTGTAGATGTTTGGCCAATGGCTGACCTCAGATTAAAAAAATGCAGATGAAAAAATATCAGCATCTTCGGACGATAATTGAGCCTCTTCGAAGGATAATATCTCCTTACAGTCAAACTACCTCAAGCGTGAACACGTAGAGGTCATTAATGACTTTATTTTTGGATTCTTGATTTCATTATTCGATTCGAACATTCATTAATGAAAACGAATCTTCAATATTCAAAAAATAGTAATAATTTGAAAATTCGATTAACTTTGGCTTGTAGGCTATTGTTTATAGCGCAAACAGAAGGTAAGTTATTAATTTTATATATTCCTTGCACAAAAAGTTGTTTTTGCATTTCAGTTGCATATATGCTTGGCATAGGGTAAAACATGGACTGGACTCTTGGACTCTTGGACCCTGGACTCTTGGACTATTCTTTGGACCCATGTTTGAACCATTATATTTCTTATAACTATTGGTTGCGACCAGTTTGTTGCATGCGATTTGAGGAAAGCACTTACAATACAATACTTTGTATTGCATGCACGTGACTAGCATAGCCTTTCATTTGAAAAATGTTACTTTGATTTGCGTTCGATTCTTCACGGTCATAAAATAATGTGTCTTTTACAACAGAATCCTCAGCACTACTGCAACCTCGGATATTCAAGTCTTCTATATGCTATCTAGATGGCTATACAGAGACCACACAGAGTATAGATAAGCGAAATTGTCATGGAACGACTTCTAAATCAAGCTTCGAATGAGCGCAAATCAAAGTAACATTTTCAAATGAAAGGCTATGCTAGTCACGTGCATGCAATACAAAGTACAAAGACAGCCTATACGTTGAGATCCCTTTGTATAACCCTTCAATATTCCCAGTATCGCGCTTGTCTTCACCTTGTTATCTTATTATCCAAACCCTAACGCCTAGCAAAACTAATAACCTACCACATACAATGCCGGCAAACAGTCAGTCTGGGCATACATTCGATTCTTACCGCGCTCTTCTGTTAAGGCCGGTTTAGACGGTACGATTTTTGCCTACAACTATTGTATACAACACGCTCGCGTCTGTCGTGGGCGTGTTGTATGCTTGAGTTGTAGGATGCCACGAGCGTGTTGTATACGATAGTTGTAGGCGAAAGTCATACCGTCTAAACCGGCCTTTACGATGTTGAATGTCATAGGACAAAAAAAGAAAAAAAAAACCCTCAACATAGCTTAGCCTTTCATTTGAAAATGTTACTTTGATTTGCGCTCATTCGAAGATTGATTTAGAAGTCGTTCCATGACAATTTCACTTATCTATAAATTGATTTGAACGCGGCCATATGGCAGCAAAATAAAAACCTTACAAGTGATTAAAAAAAAAAGACTAATGTATATAATGACCAATAGTTATAAGAAATATAATGGTTCAAACATGGGTCCAAATAATAGTCCAAGAGTCCAGGGTCCAAGAGTCCAAGAGTCCAGTCCATGTTTTACCCTATGCCTATATGCTTGGCTTTTGTATATGCCAGGCTTTGAAGATTCGTTTTCATTAATGAATCTTCGAATCGAATAATGAAATCAAGAATCCACAAATAAAGTCATTAATGACCTCTACGTGTTCACGCTTGAGGTAGTTTGACTGTAATTTTTATACCAGATTATAGTACTTTGCGGCACTGTGGTTTTTTATAGAGTGCAAACAATGTAACCGTGAAACTTTAGTAATACTAAATAGCACAATTTCAGGCAAATTCCATTATTTTCCATTGTTTAATTAGCACTATGTTGTACTATTTAGTAATTAGTGTTTCACGGATTAATTGTTTGCACTCTACCTTGTCGTTTTTAGTGCCTACTACAAAGTAGTAGACACTATATTGTCATCGGGCGTGAAATTAACTCTGTCACGCGTATAAACTATCAAGTAAATAAACGGAGCATATTTTCATAACTTATACTTGTTAATCGCCAAAACAGAATCACATATGAAGTAAAAGAGATCTCAAAGGAACATTGTGGCTTTTTCATTGAGAAAACGAGGAAAACGTTTCGTCAAAGTATGACCTCCATTTTGTTTCAGTCACGCAACAGTTGCACAAAATGAATCGGCATAACACAGGAAGCCCAAAATAATCAATACCAACATTTAATAAAAACCTTYATTATATGACCGTGAATCTTTGAGCCTGGACACTAGCAAATCGAGCAATCTGATTGGATAGATCGCATCGCGGACTGGTCTAGATTCTCCGGTATTAAACGGTCCGATCGCATATTAATCTTACGGCGAAAACATTTTGTCCCTTTCAATGAAAAGTGGTCACATAATAAAACTCTTATCAACCGAGCTTGGTCGGTCTGTACGGGATAATCGCTGCGCTCGGTCTGTACATTCCGACCTCGGTCAAGATTATCCCGTACAGACCGACCAAGCTCGGTTAATAAGATCTAAATACTGATCTTTACTTTCAACATTTATATTCTTTCCAGCAACACCGCTATTTCAATTACCTACATATATCCTTCATATATCTCAATAGTCAGCTACCAACTTCCATTCCTTTCCTGTATAACAATAGTTTTTTATCAGCGCCTTTTTTTTTTCGGTTTCTCTTGCTAAAACCTAGCACACAACCTTTTAGCAGTTCTAACCGTTTCAATTAAATGATAACCGTTTTTTTWAATATTTTTTAAAATTACGTTTTCTTATATATTTAAAAAAAAATTACTTGCTGCTCAAAACTCCTTAGCGCCCGGCCTTAGATTCGCGGCTAGTAAGACGGCGATGGTTTTCTATCCGAGTGAGTATAGCCATTATTAGGATAGATGTAGAGTAGAGAGACGGAGAGAAATAAGAAACAAATGGCAAACTTTGTCTATTTTTTTATCAGGATTCAAGTTATAACATTCTATAACTATGAAACATTTACACCCATGAATTATAAGAATTATTAACTATTGAAAAGAGAAAGTTCCTTATGAAAGATATCACGAATGTAAAGTATTTACCAGCATCAGTGTGGACCAGTATTTGACCTACCTGCTATCTGTCAGTATTGCGCATGTGCAAACTTTAAAATCCTTTGTGATTTGCTTTGATATTATTTATTTATAAACAGGAATCCCATGTTTTTCAATGGGGTTCTGTTGCTATCATATTTTCATATCTCTCTCAGGTTATGGTTATGACGATCTTTAATTCTAATGGAAGCAACGTAACTGTAATAATCAACATAGCCAACAAGTGATGAATATTTCTTTATTTGGAGACTAATGTCTGAGGCTAGTGACGCTGTCATAATATAATGGTAAGTGTGGTCTAAACAGATTTCAAAACAAAGGCCTCAATCATTGAAGTACGTGTTTGTTTTCGTCTCGTCTCTGATTTTTGACATTTGAAAAAAACTTGTGGGAATAGTAAACAACGGTCTTAAAAACGAAGCTTATTTCTTAGTAACTAAACATGCACAACTAACGCTCTTCGATCGCGCAAAAAAAGAAAAATAAGAAGAAGAATCAGGTTTTTAATATACACTAAATTGAAGAATCGTTGTCGGGTTCAGAAACATAGAACATAGAAGCTGAGACCGAAATGCCACATGGGAAATGACATAATCATATCATAGTATGTTTATTTGCGCCATCCATGCAGTCGGTTTAGAATGCCAAACGCGTATTAAAAACAGTGGATGATGTCACGGGTCGCTGGTCACAGCATGCATCTAATTAACGTACTTCCCATGTGCCATTTCGGTCTCAGCTTTTATGTTCTATGTTTCTAAACCCGACAACGATTCTTCAATTGAGTGTATGTTTAGTATTAATACACAGGTGATTATTGAAAATCTCGCGCGCTGATTGGTCGAGAAACTCAGATTATCACACGATAATCACCTCCAGCGATAATCCAATATGGCGGGCAGCCGCTTTGTCGCTGTTACCGGGGGAAAAAATGTGTCTTTTATCTTCTTTTTTTCGGCTTTTTTTGAAAGAATCACCTTTGTATTTATCTTAAAACAATCATTCACCTCAAGCTCAGTGAATATCGGAAATAATAACCTCAACTTCGTTTCGGTTATTATTCCCTGATATTCACTTCGCCTTCGGCGAATAATCATCGATCAAATGTCTATTTTTCGCTATCGCTAAAAAGTAATATCTTCACTTAATGTGGAAATATCACCTTTGGCAAGGAATTGCAATGAATGATAAAAATCCACTAAAACTGTATTTGATCGATAATTATATATTAATATCATATTAACTAAATATCACACCCCCGCGTGGCCATGCAATTTCCTCTATGTAGGAAAACTAGCTAACTTAAAACTGAAACTGGACAGGTTTACTAAGTCTGAAAAACAGTTTATCTCGTACCATTCGAATTGCTTCAATTCTTCCCGTACGCTTCTAGTAATCTCTTTATAAATTCCATATAAAGTACTAATTGGGGACACTTTTCACTCACACGCACTACCACTACATTTAATATTCTATGCACACAACGCTCAACTCACATGTTGATTTTTACGGAKGGAGGAAATCGGAGAACCCGGAGAAAACCCTCGTAGCATAGGAGAGAACAACACATCAAACAAAATCAATTCACATGTGTGGCGACCGCAGAGCTCGAACCAGCGATCCGACCCGTTGGACTCACAGCGGTGAAAGACGACGCATTAGCCGCGAACGACACCCATGCTACCCATATTCCTTTCTTCTCTGTTATATGCATAGCTAGGGCATACTTTTAGCTGGTAAATGATATCATATTACTCTCAATAACATTACTCGATAACTAAAACCTCTACAACTCATCCGTTTACGCATTTTAACGGTTCTTGATTAGAAGTTTTGGGAAAAGTTGGCCAAAAAGGCAGTTATGCCCCGCCCTCCACGAYATGTTGTTGTTTGTAATATAACTGGAAATAGAGTTGTGAAATTTAAGAACTTTCAAACAATCACCCGTAACAAGAGAAAATGAACTAAGAGAAGGAATCCCCGTGCCTCATCATGTGCACACTTTGATGCTATTTTTAGAATCATTGATGCTATTTTTAACTCGTTACCATACCTGCGCAATAATCATGCTTCCTTTAATGCCTCGTTTTAGGACACGAAAAGCGACAAAAACAGGGACTAGAAGCCGCCTACCATTAAGAAATCAACCAATCAGGTTTTTCGCTCAAAATATCTCCAAGCTAAAAATAGCATCACACTGTGCACATGATGGTTACAAGGCTATATAGGTAGGATTCTCTCTCTTAGTTCATATTCTCTTGCTCGTAACTATTATTAACGGATTGTACTCAAGATTGTGCGATTTCCTAAAACATAACAGTTCTTTTTCGTTGACAGGGGAATACTGATATCGTTATTTCTCGTCGTGGACCGCCGCTCATGAATACTGCAAACAAGTCCTTCAGTAGCTCAATAAAACCTACATCACGATTGCTCACCTGGTATTGGTCAGCCTGTGGCGTTTGTCTTATTTTATATCTGTCACTATATTTGTATTCTCTGGCTAAACATAACAGATTTACATCACTACCTCCACCCTTAAGGGCGACAGAATCAACTGAATTGTTGTACCAAAGAATACTTCAGAATAAACTCCAAACAAAAGAGCAATTATTTCATCAACTTGAGCAAGAGTTTAGGAATCAATGGTGCCGACAGAGAAAGACGCGGGTCAACTGGGAACAAGTAATGCGACCGTGTTCGGATAATATGGCCTGGGGTCAAGTGAAGCCAGGATGGGACAAAAGCCAACGAACAAGTGTATCAATGAGTACCATCTATTATCAGGATATTCGTCCAGCCAGAGAGTTTAGTAGRATATTCATTCAATCGAGAACAAAGGATGGTCAAATCAAACGGATTGGTGGGGATTCTTGGAGAGTATATCTACGTGGACCGTCATCCATTGCTGCCACTGTGTTTGATCATAATAATGGCACATACGAAGCTCTGTTTCTCGTTATGGAACCAGGGACGTACACACTAAAAGTCATTCTTGATTTTAGCATATGTGATGGGTTTAGGGATCCTCCCATCGATTGGTTTATCAAAGGTATGACAGAAATCTACGAGATATTGTCAGTATGAGCGTCGCTTTCATGAAGCAGTGTAATAATCAATAACAAAATGTTATACCGTAGAATCCCAGTAATGATCCCTGGGCTTATACACTTGGGTGCGCTTGCATTCAAGAGGGTGGGCTTAGCATCAGGGAAGAGGAGTTAAAAAAGAGAGGAAGAAAACGTCGGAAAGCCGTCTCAGTACTAGTGTTCATACAAGAATAGCTAGAAAAGCTTTAAAACGTGAATGAACGCACAAGAACTACTGCGGGGCTGCACGGCAATGGTCCATCTTGGGGGGGGGGGGCTTATAACCAGGATAACTATAGTTTATGGTTATAACTCATAATTACGGTACGCAAGTTCAAGGTTCACCAAACGCAAGAAAATTCGTTTTCTGTAAATGGTGGTTTTAATTGTTCTTATCATGACGCGCCAGAAGGAAAGAAGAGTTTTTTGCTGACCTCCGCTTGGCCTCATTTTCATTAATATTAGTCATCAGTCCTGCTCATCTTCAAAAATTTGAATACGGCTTGGAACTAAGGGATTCCGACGTCGAGTATGAGTTTCCTCGATTTTCCGTAGCGCTTAAAAGATGCATTAATGTCGATGAACTTTAAAAACGTTATGTAAAAGGATCGTCGACTGATGATGTCGTTTTGTCAATTTCAGGTAATCATCATGGAAAGAAACAAGAGGAGGGGATATTAGGCTATTTAGATGATTACCTACATGAAACAATAGACGGACAGCTGTCAATCAACATAACTAAATCCCGAATGACCATGCCCATTGAAGGTTAGTGTAATGGAGATTAAGATTAGTGGTGGAAGAGTTTGAAAATAGGGCGATCTTTACTGTGAATATGCAGTAATAGATTTTAAGGAGCAGATTTTAGACTAATGAATGTTTTGTTGTTTTCCCCTCAGGAATTTTAACCCAGGAAGCTTGTGGTGCAGGTTGTGATTTCCTCATTGATGGATATGGTAGATGGATCAATAACAGGGATTGGCTTCCATTTATAAAAGGTACATGTATACTAGTGATTGATTTCAAACTGTATAAAGCAAGGCGTATGTGATTTCGGGCTAGATATAGTTTACCGACACTTACCTTTCTAGACCTGTCCGCTTACTTCATCCAATGACATGCGTGCGTTTGATCAAAATAGAATCTTATGAAGTTCGGCGGAATTCAAAATTTTGTCAAAGTAAACTGGTTGCTATGCGTGACATCTTGAAAAGGCTATGTCGATTGGAATGTTGCCGCAACTGTCGAATTGTATGTTGGAGACTCTAGCATGGCCGGGATACARTTGATAGTATTAATATCAGTTTTCAGGTCATTTTTGCTGCTTTACCAARTGAATCATCATTTGACCTATAATACCTCGTATTTTATTCCATTAGAGGCGGATATTCCTAGAGTACAATCAGGAAGAGGTCCATCAGGTATGCTCATCTCGTATGGAGACTCCGTAGCATTGCGGTTTGGTCTATCTTTGGCAAGAAATAAAAAGATATGTGGTGAACTGTACAAGTCGTGTTCTTATAGATATAACTGGATCTACCCTGTTGGGAACGAACAGGTACAAAGTGTGTTGTAAATAGATTTGTTCTCACTTTGCTCCAAATGTGTAGGTACGGATAAGCGGTAGCTTGTCACTTGCTTCTCACCTGTGGGGTTCAGACTATGGCTAGATCCCTTCACTCGGCAACACATGTGACCAGAGTTTGTTGTGGGTCTTCTACATCAAAAAATTCCAAACCATTAAATACTATTTTGATACAACAGCAGTAAGCCATGCCCTGACATAGATCATTAATGCAGTGTTCGATGTAATCTAGAATCGTTCGGTTGTGCCGTGTAGGCTTTGGTAAGTTTCGGTAGTTTTTGGTACGTTTGGAATTTTTTGCTAGGTTTAGGGAGTTTTTGGTATCTTTTGGGTTATTTTTTGGTATTTTTGGTAGGTTTCGGTAGTTTTCGGCAGGTTTTGGTATTTTTTGATATTTTGTGGTATTTTTTGTATTTGTGGTATTTTTGTGATATTTTTTGGTACTTTTCGGTAAGTTTTTGTAGGTTTTGGTAAATTTAAGTTTTGGTAGGTTTCAGTAGGTTTCGAGT